GGCGCCCCCCGCCCCCCACGAGCCTCGTGCATCCGCTGCGTCCCTAAGGAACCCACTTAATCTTTCGGGGTGTCTCTTTAATTGGCTGTCACTTGTTCTCCAAGAGTTGGGTGATACGTCTTTTTCTTTGTTAGTCGGTATCGTGTCGTGGCACAATCACTGCTCGCCGCAGCATCAAGCTCCTGAGCTCAAGCAATGCTGTCTCAATTTACCCAGTAGCCGAAAACTACAGCGGGGCGCTATCTCACCCAGCTAATTCTTTGTTCGTTGTTGGTAACGATGGGAGTCTTGTTAGGTTACTCAGGCTGGTCTCAAGCTCTTGGCTCAAGCCGTCATGCCTTAGTTCCCCCAGTAGCCGAAACTACAGGTGGGCACCACCACACCTGGCTAATTTTTTTTTTTAAGTAAAACATATTTACTCTTATGCTTAATTTTTAAAACAACTTTTTGAGCTAGGTATTATTAGTCTCACTTTATAGAGGGGAAAACTAAGACACAGAGTAAGGTAACTTGTACAGTATCAAGCAGTAAGTGGTGAATCACCCTCAGAACCCAAACTGCAAACCCTTTAGCTACTGTAAGTTCCTACCTCCCATAAATAGTGCCTCAAGCTTACTAAGTAATTTTTACTTTTTGTAAGGATGAGGTCTCCCTGTATTGCCCAGGCTGGTCTCAAACTCCTGGACTCAAGTGATCATCCCACCTTGGCCTCCCAAAGTGCTGCAGTGACAGGCATGAACCTCAGTTGATGCCACTATTACACCCAATTAATGAGGGAGGAAGGGAAGAGTAAGCTGGATTGGACTATATAGAATGACCCTTGGAGCCAGGAGCTTTCTTGTGGCTGGGACCTATCTTTGGTCTGTCTCTCTAGAGACGAGATGGAGCAGAAGGCAGTTATGCAGTGCCCCTCTGCGATCTTGCCAAGATTTGTGCAAAAGGTGGGATTCTTCTCTAGGGAGTTTGCTTGCTGGAAACTACACCTGTGAGAGAATGCCACGTCTTGGGTGAATTGACACATTGGTGCTAGAACAGACTCACCTCTCAAGTACACCTTCCCACAAGACAACTCACAGTGAGTGACCTGAGAGACAGGTGGGTACTGTGTCCACATCGTGATTAGAAGCTCCCACTCCAGGGAAACTATTGCGTCTTCAACATATGCTGCCCCTAGAGGCGTTGCAGGTGTGGCTGCCGTGTCACATTTGTGTCATTAGAGGGCACAGAGAAGAAAGGCTGTGTCTACGCTCAGTGTTCTGACCCGTGAATGTCTGAATGATTAATAGTCTGACACTGGACAAAGCAGAAATGTGTGTGTCTTCCCCCTGGTCATCTTGTGAATTTAGAGTCTGTTCATCCTGCACCAGTGGCCCTGGAAGGAAGGGTGTGTGTAGAAGTCCTCAGAAGGGCCTTCCCACCACACAGTGACCATCCAGCTTCATCCGGCAGCTGCTCACTGCAGGGCACCAAGAGAGGCAGTCTGAATACTTGACTTTGGGTTGATCACTAGGGGTCGGAAAGGTGACAGTGGGAAGGCAGGAGTGTGCCCTTGGCAGTGATGGCCTTTGTGTGTTAGTTTAAAAAACTGTCAACAAGCCGGGCTCGGTGGCTCAGCCTGTAATCCCGCGCCTTTGGGAGGCTGAGGTGAGTGGATTGCCTGAGCCCGCGGGTTCGAGACCTGCCTGGGCAGCGAGACCTCATCTCTACAATAAATCAAAAAATCAGCCAGGTGTGGTAGCGCATGCCTGTAATTCCGGCTACTTGGAAGGCTGAGGCGGAAGGATCGCCGGAGCCCAACAGGTCGAGGCTGTGGTGGCCGGGAGCGGCCACTGCACTCCAGTCTGGGCGACAGAGTGAGACTCCAACTCAAAAAAAAAAAAAACTGTCAACAAGAAGAATAAAGTACAATATTGGATTGCTGGTTCATAGCTCAAGCCTTGTCGAAGGGGTAGGCTTTCAGAATATACATAGGGTGCCCAAAAAATGTATACACAGCTTAGGGAAGGAAAAACTATTAAAATTGTAATACTCACATGTATACCAATAACAAAAGAGCAAGTCACGTTTGACTTCTGCAATTACAAGAAGTGCTCAAAGTGGTTACCATCAGTGTCTGATTACAGCAGACTAAAAGTAATACATAGTCACCGTCTCTTAAAATATGTTTACATTTTTTGGTGCCCCCAGAATATGGGACTAGAAAGGACTAGGGGAGGATTTGCTGGTGTTTGATTCTGTTGATGATAATGGTGCCCTCTTTATTGTACTTGGTCCTGTGCCAAGCATTTTTGTTACTTAGCACAGGAAGGGAGGCAGCTGTTAACCCGTGGAGCTCTGCTTACAGTGTGCACGTTGGCCAAAGTGACCTGGCTGTCGTGGCCCTAGCCCAGATGGAGGTAAGAGGAGGGGCGAGGCTGCCCCCTTTGAGGCACCTGGCTACAGGCCAGGGTCAGCTTGCTGGGTGGGTGTGAGTGACTGCCCTGTAGATGCTGTCCTGGATCTGCCAGCACCACAGGCACAGCTGCTCGGCTGTGCCTGTGACATCGGGGCACAGAGAAAGTGGCTATTTCTACGCTCAGTGTTCAGAAACCCATGAACACTAAGAATGGTTTGTAGCCTGACATTTCTTAGAACTACAGCGAAGTGGCATTCCGCCTTTTGCTTTGGAAGTGACTGGTTTGCTGCCCAAAGGTAGTGGCACCCGCTGTGGCAGCAGCACTGCACTTGGATTTCTAGTTTCTTTAAGGACTGAGATCTGTGTGTACATGAAGCTCAAGACCGCCCTCCCAGTCCTCATTTTGGGTGAGAGTTCTGTAGGGTGCTCCAGAGGGGACTGCACAGGCCTGTGTCCTGTGCAGAAGGGCCTGGGTAGGGGTGTCAGCAGCTACCTCATCTGAAAGCCAGTGTTGGGAGGACCCACCTTTGAGAAGCAGAACAAGGAGCAGTAGGCATCTGGGCCCACGCTGGCCTCAGTCCTATTGGGGCCCCCAGCACTGTAGACCAGTGGTTCTTAGCCAGCGTGGTTTGTGTGTTCTCTCCCAGGGTGCATGGCACTGTCTAGAGACATTTTTATGCCTTCATAAATGGGTGGGAGCAGGGTGGTACTGGCATCTGGTGGGCAGAGACAGGGATGCTCTGCACCCCCTGAAGATCCCCTTGTCCCCGTCCCATCTGTGTCGTCCCCCTGCCCCGCCATGTCCTTCAGGCTAATGGCAGCAGTGCAGGTGCTGACCAGTCTTGTATAATAGGATCCAATCAGGAGGAAATGTGGCTTCAAATGCAGTTTTGGGAATTCACACATTGGATTCCCTGAAAGTCGACAGGAAGCACAGGGTAAAACAAGAGCTCTGGGCAGCTTCGCCAACCTTGTTTTTTGTTTTTGTTTTTTCAGATCAGAGGCCAGGAAGGATGCTGGTCTGGCTCCCAACTGTGCACGTGTAGCCTCCACCTCCAGGACCATTGCCCCAGCGTGCACAGTGGGCTTCCTGTGAGGTCTGCCCACCCACCTGTGGGTAGCTGCTGAGATTCAAACCTCTACTGGATTGCACAGTACTTTCCCTTGTGGTGCCCTAATTTTTTTAAGTGCTGCCACTCTAGTGGTGAATACTATCTTTAGGCAGTTTTTGAACTGTTAAAACCCAAGGTCCTAAGCTGGGTTTGTTTTTTTTACCCTACTTAGATTATCTTGGTGTTTTGTGTTTTTCCCACCAAGGGAGAAAAGCTAGATGGGAAACAAAAGCTGTTTTAGAATAGAGGATGAGGAGGTGAATTAAAAGATTTGTTTAATGCACTTTTCTTCAAGGAAAGTTTTTCTGTGTCGGCAAGACTTGAGTTGTTTTGAATTGGTCTTGTGTGGCACAGGTTGTATCTTGGCTGAAATACCCCTTTTCTGGCCCTGCTGTTGGGACCTTCCCCTGTGGGTACAACCCTGTCCAGGATAATGCAGGGGTGGGAGAAAGACGGGAACCATCACTTTACTTGCTGTTTTCTGGACGATGAATTGTATGTCTAATGACCAACTTCTATAAAGTCAGCATTAAAGTCATTTTTTTACAAAATACTGTAAGTTTGTTTTGTTACTGGAACACCATCTTCTTGGTCTGCCCATGGCGCTTGTGAGAAGCCCTGCCATGATCCAGGCATGGAGTGCTGGTCATTGGCTACTGACCAAAGATGCAGGGTCAGCCCCACTGACCCTGTACCCTAGTTACAACCCTGACACTGGAACAGCTTTACAAGTTCAAGGAGGGGTCAGGCAAGGCCCCAGAGTAGCCCTCACCCTTGCAAGGTACCACCCCACAGGTGCTGGGGCTGGGGGGAAAGGTCAGCCTGAGAATGCCACTCCTTCAGCAAGGGGGAACCCCCCAATCTGAGCCCCAGTGGGGTTCCTGAGTTCTCAGACACTTGGCATCACATGGAAGCTACTTATGTACACCATGTTCTGCAGCGACAACCCAGCTGGCCTGGGTGGCCAGTCTCCCCTCCCCTCCCCAGCTTCTCCCCACTGAGCTAAGGTGGTCCCAGCTGGGTTGCCGGAATCCAGGAGACCTGAGCTTGAAGGCAGGGTTACTGCCGTGGGGCAGCTCCCACACTTCTCGCCAACGCCTGGCGGGGGAAGGCCACCCTGCCTGCCGGCCCCAGCAGGCGGTCGGGCGCGGACTAGGAGTACTTGGTGTTGGAGATCTCCTTCCACAGCAGGCTCTTGAGGTGGCTGAGCACCAGCGAGTGGTGCGCCTCCACCTGGCTGGCCAGCCCGCTGAGCGTGGCACAAGTGCGCAGCTGTGAGCCCAGCTCCTCACGGAGCTCAGTGGGTGCGCCGGGCAGCAGGTAGTCACGCAGCAGCTCGCACACCTTGGCCAAGTTGGGCCGCAGGAGGTCGCCCTTGCACTGCCGCATGAGCCTGTCGCAGGGCGCCCGGCAGTCGCGCCCGTAGGTGCAGTCAGCACTGTGCTCGCAGCGGCGGCCCTGCAGGAAGCGGCGCACTGCGTTCTCAGGCGCCACCTGCTGCAGGTCGGCCATCCTGAAGTCGTAGGTGGCCGTGTAGCCCACGTTGGCCAGTGTGGTCTCGCACATGTAGAAGGTCCCGTAGGCGCCGTGGAACAGCTCCTCCACGAACTCCAGCAGGCCGATGGCGATCTTGGCGCGCCAGGGCCATGCGGGCCCCAGCCAGCGTTGGAGGGCCCCCTGCAGCGCCGGCGGCAGCAGCGAGGGCAGCGCAGCTGCGTGCCAGGGGCCGTGGGGCACGCCTTCGGTGAGGTAGAGGTCGCCACAGTAGCCCAGTAGCCGCGAGGCGTGCTCCTGCTCCTGCAGCGACAGCAGCAGCAGGAACTCGTTTCGCTGCAGCAGCGCCCACACCGACTTGGCTTCCGCCAGAGACACGTGGCTGTCCTTGTTGAAGTCGGCCATGAGGAGGACCTGGCCGACCAGCGCCGGCAGGGAGGGCAGGTCACCCAGGTTCGCCTGGCATTCGGGAGCAGAAGAGAGGGGAACCCGGTGGCTGTGGAGTCTGGGAGCGTGACCTGGCCTTGCCGGGTCCGCCTGAAGATCAGCGCGCACCAGGTCAGGGGATGGAGGGGATGGCTAGCGGCGTGGGAGACCCCCCCTGCTCGCCCTCCCTGGCCTGTGCTGCTGATGCCTGTCAGGCCTCCCACAGCGCAAGATGCATGCAGGGAGCTGGGCGTGGGCTTCTGGACACAGGAATCCCTGGAGCTCGTCTGGGGTCAGCACCAGGGTGGAAGGCAGAGGAGAGTCCCACCTCTGGCCTGTCCTCTGATCCCCTACCCTGGATCCACGCAGTCAACTGCTGAACCCCTCCTCCCCACTTCAGGGGCTCGCCCACCCCAGAACCCTTTCCCTGGCCTGCCTCCTTCCTACAGGGTGGGAGCGGGGGTCTGCCCAGGGCCCACATGGGCCCGTACCCCTGCACTTGGGGCACACGGGCGCCAGACTGCCGGCTGTGTACACACCCCCACTTCA